GGCGCAGAAACCCATAGAATCGCAGTGTACATAAGAAAATACAAAGCTACCATAACCAAACACAAACGAACGGAACATAACCAAACATAGCATAACCAAACCTACTGCGCCGAGTCTGCCATTGCTGCCCTCCCGGAGCCAAATGGAACACTTTAGTGGGGAGTGGAACGCAGAAATCAATACAATGGCGGTGTATATCAGAAAAGTCAAAGCAACCCGTACCTAACCCGAACCAGCGGAACATAACCAAACTTGGCATAACACAACCTACCGCGCCGAGAACGCGATTGCTGCTCTCCCCAAAGCCAAGCAGCACATGCTAGAGCACAGTAGAGCACAGAAGTCTACCGAATAGCAGTGTATAACACAAAAGTTAAGGTTACCCTGACCAAACTTTGCACAAACTAGCATAACCGAATGTAACCCGACTCAATATAACGTGCCGAGACCGCTATTGCTGCCATTCCCAGAGCCAAGTTGAAAATATTACAACACTGTAGTACTCAGATTTCCTCCTAATTGCAGACTAGAGCATTAAAGTCAAAGCTACTTCTCCCAATATAACCAATCGTAACATAACCAAACGTAACGTAACTCATCCAAACGTGCCGAGACCACTATTGCTGGCCTTCCCAGAGCCAAGCTGAAAATATTAAAGCACTGTAGGGGGTAGGAATCCGCCTAATAGCAGACTATAGCACTAAAATCAAATTTACCCTCTCCAAACCTAACCAAACGTAACATAACCAAACGTAACCTAACGCAAGCTTACGTGCCCCAACCGCTATTGCTGCCCTCCTCAGGGCCAAGCGGAGCAGATTAGCTTAGAGTAGCACGAAGAAATCCATGGAATCGCAGTATATGTCAGAAAAGTCGAAGGCACCCGAGCCTAACCCAAACCAACAAGACATAGCAAAGCACAGCCTAGCTCAACCTATCGTGCCGAGAACGATATTCCTGCCCTTCCCGCGGCCGAGCAGGATATACTAGGGCACAGTAGGGCGCAGAAATCAACCGGGTGTCAGTGTACAAAGCAAAAGTTTAAGCTATCCTAACCAAACGCTGCCTAACCCAACCTACCCGAACGTAACCTGTCTCGGCATTACAAGCCGAGACCACTATTGCTGGCCTTGCTAGAGACAAGCAGAATATACTAGAGCACAGTAGATCGCAGAAGGCCGCCGAAAAACAGTTTATACGACGAAAGTCGAAGCTATCCTAACCTAACCCACGCTAATAGGTCCCAGCTGATCGTAGCTTAACTCAACCTAACGTGCCGAGACCACTATTGCCGGCTTCCCCAAACACAAGCTGCATATGGTAGAGTACAGCAGAGTACGCAAGTCCATAGGGTGGCATTGTACATTACGACGGTCAAA